CACACACACACACACACACACAGTCACAAGATATTTTAGAATCTCAGAATTTAGATGTCCTGCTGCACACTTTTTTTCACTCACACAAGAAATCTTTTATTTCGTTCATCTTCAAACTGAAATCACTGCCAGCGTGCTGCACATTAAACAGAGGCCTGGGAGGAATGCAAACACACGAGAACACGTCTCGGCTTCACACAATGCTTCCTGTCTGTGTTGCTAAATTCAGTGAGAAACCTAAAACCCCAAATGAGAAAACCGTGACCTTTTTCCACAACTCGTCTAAAGGTAAAACCCAGAGAACAGCTTCGACCCTGCCTCGTCTTTAACGTCACACTGAGCACCGAGAGATTCCTGCAGCCGAAAACACAACAAAATGTGTCTAAAACTTCCACAGTCTGAGCCACTCACAGAGAATCTGAAGTATTTTTCAACACTACTCACCAGCTTTGTCATCCTGCGGACACTTTGCCTGATTGTGCTGCTCATCCAGGACAAAATAAAATAAATTAAAATAAAATAAAATAAAATAAATAACCCCACAAAATTTAAGGTGTGTTATTGTTCAACTCAACTCCACGCAAAATTTAAAACTCTGAAATAAGCTGTTTTCCTTGATTTTGAAAATATTAGGAAATAACTTTAAAATAAAACAATTTAAACACTTATAAATGATGTAGATTTTGTCATTCATTACTAACACTAGTGGTTTATAACATATTGTGCTTTTTCCATATTTGGTCATTTTATTTTATTTATTGATTTATTTATCCACTCAAACATACCAATCTATCTGCATAAAACACAGAAAAGATGCCGGCATGAGAAAAAGTCCCAGCTAAAAAACATCTTAAAAAATAAAATAATAATAATAAAAAAAAGACGTCTGGATAAAAAGGCATTTGTTTCGTGCTGATTTTACCACAAGACTGACGGATAGTTCGATTTAAGAGCATGCCTTTTTGTTTTCTGTGGTCATAAGACAAATTCTTCACAAAAAATAAATAAAACATTAAAAAAATCAAAGCTTTGACTTGATGAATAAAAATGAAAGTTTAAAAATTTCTTGCATGAAAGCACATCATGCCAAATAAATGCCAGGAGTGTGGCTGTTTTGATCAAATGTTGAAAATAAATGACAAGTTTGATCTGAAGAGAGGTAACTATCTCATTCCTGGATTGTTCTGCCTGATATTTCATCTGAAATCAGGTTTTATGGTAATCAGTCATTAAAACGTTTAATTTGAGCCCATCTGACTGAGCTGCTGCAGGGGGATGTGTTCAGTGTTCTGTGCTGTGTGCTTGACAGAACACAGAACAATAAGCATTTTTAACATTTTTGTATCTCGCAGCTGAACCAGCAGGAATAAAAAAAAAAGAAAAGAAAAGCAGAAGTGACTTCTTGTATGCGACATACGCTCAAGAATGTCAGACAACCTAAAGACGTTTTGATGATGAAGACACATTTTTCACATTTCGGCTATAGTGAAGGTATGTGGTAATGCTGAGCAAACAGCTGAGAATTAAACCCTAGAAGCACAGCAACAGCAACAGCATCCACAACGCTGACCAGCTAAGGAAAACTAGTCACTTGTAAAACAGGAATGTTCATTTATAT